AAAATCACACACAGTTAAATCCCCCAGTTGCTAAAAATCTGTGAACTTCTATAAGCTGAGGCTGAGGGTCTCTAAGCTGAGTGGCCTGTACCGACCTGGGTTAAAGACCTGATTTGTTCCTCACTAGCAGATGAGTCCTGAAACTAAATGTTTAGCCCAGAAGTCAGCAATTTTTCTTTGTGAAGAGTCAGATAGTAAATACAGTAGAACCTTCATAGTTGATGCTCTCTCTACATTAACCACCTCCAAGTTGACCTAATTTTCATAAACCAGACATGTACTACATGTATCTATCAGTACAGTAGGCCTAGTTCCTTATGGTGACCAGTTTGTTACATTCCTTTAGGTGGTCAACTTACAGAGCTACTACTATATCTTTGACTTTGCAGGCCATAAGGTTTCTATTCAGTGATAAAATTATGCCACTGATACTCAAAAGCAACCATGGTTAGTACGGGGTAGGTGTGACTGCTTTTGGTTTACAGGCTGTAACTTGCTGACTCCTGGTTTAGCATCTCTATTCTTAGTTGACCCAAGTATTAAATAGAAGAATTAAGAGCTGCCCACCCACCCATCTGACACTACTACAACAGATCAGCTGTAAGGGATTATTGTGTGAATGAGGCAGGCTCTGCAGCAGTCAAATTGTTGATACATATTCAACTTTGCTGTTGAACTTTTTTTTTACTTGGCCAGGGCTGGGTTTGAAGCCGCCACCTCTGGCATATAGGGCCAGCTCCTTACTTCTTTGAGCCACAGGTGCCACCCGCTTTTGAACTTTTTTACTGTGAAATCAGTGTAACCCCAAAACCTGAAAACAGGCTCTGCGCCTATGGCTCAAGCGGCTAAGGCACCAGCCACATACACCTGAGCTGGCACACCTGAGCTGGCAGGTTAGAATCTAGCTCCAGGCCCACCAAACAACAATGACGGCTGCAACCAACAAATAGCCAGGCGTTGTGGCGGGCGCCTGTGGTCCCAGCTACTTGGGAGGCGGAGGCAGGAGACTCACTTGAGCCCAGGAGTTGGAGGTTTCTGTGAGCTGTGATGCCACCACACACTACCCATGGGGACAGCTTGAGGCTCTGTCTCAAAAAAAAAACTGCAAACAAAGAGTTCACCCTGTTTCCCTCCTTAATCCACATAAATTCTAATTGTAAATGTTCTCATTTCATCCTTGCTTCAGCAGATAGTACATGGGTACCCATGACATGTCTGTGCTTTTATCTTTTAAGATTACCAAACTCTTGCACATTGTTTCCCTCTTAGTTGCAGAGTCTATCTAGTACCTTCTTTCTCATTTTTAAAAGTCACACATTTGGTTCCCTTTGCAGTTGGCTGCTGAACAGTTCAAGAAAACAAGTCTTCATGTGGCTAAGAGTGTTTTGAACAATAGACACATAGTGAAGATGCTGGAAAAATACCTCAAGGTTTGTGCTTAAGAGTCCAATGGACAGGGAAAGCTTTTGAAATTGAGGGTGAATTCTTTGTGCATACACTTGTTCCCAGAAGACAGTAATTTACGTTTTTGAGTCTTTTGACCAGTTGAGGAATGATGAAATATATCAAGTTTGAAAATGTGACAGCTAGGGATTTCATGACTCAATGCTTGCTTGGGACAGCAGGGATCTGGTGCTGCTAGATTAACCAGTGTGCAGTTGTGATGGCTCTCACCAGGAGAAACCCTGATTTTCTAGCTATGAAATACCCAGCAAAATAATGAGGAAATGCCTTTATAAAGAGTCCACCAGACTGGGTGTGGTGGCTCACACTCTGGGAGGCCCAGACAGGTGGATTGCCTGAGCTCACAGGTTCTAGACCATCCTCATCCAGAGTGAGACCCTATGTCTTAAAAAAAATAGCTGGGTGTTGTGGCATGTACCTGTAGTCACAGCTACTTGGGAGGCTGAGGCAAGAGAATGACTTCAGCCTAATAGCTTGAGGTTGTCATGAGCTGTGATGCCATAGCACTCTACTGAGGGCGTCAAAGTGAGGCTCTGTCTCAAAAAAAAAAAAAAAGAAAAGTCCACCAGCCCACGTACTTTGGAAGGCCAAGGCAGGAGGGTCACTTGAGCATAGGAATTATAGGCTGCAGCGTATAGTGTAGCCTGGGTGACAGAGTGAGACCTTGTCTCAAAACAGCAAGGCTTGGCGCCCATAGCACATGATTATGGTGCCAGCTACATACACCAAGGCTGGTGGGTTTGAACCCAGCCTGGGCCAGCTAAACAACAATGACAACTTCAACAAAAAAATAGCCGGACATTGTGGCAGGCACTTTTAGTCCCAGCAACTTGGGAAGCTAAGGCAAGAGAATCACTTAAGCCCAAGAGTTTGAGGTTCCGGCTCGGCGCCTATAGCTCAACGGGCTAAGGCGCCAGCCACGTACACCCAAGGTGGTGGGTTCAAATCCCCAGCCCGGACCCGCCAAACAACAATGACGGCTACAACCAAAAAATAGCCAGGCGTTGTGGCGGGCGCCTGTGGTCCCAGCTACTTGGGAGGCGGAGGCAGGAGACTCGCTTGAGCCCAGGAGTT